CTATATCTTTATTTAATTAATTGAGATAATGAGAACCTGTCTGGCAAGGTTGCTTACTCTCACTCTTTCTCATTTTTCTAGTGATCGACTGGATTGTAAAGACGTCAGCATTTGAGAGGAAGCATTGGATACTGTGGACAGCTAAGGTGCAACTGGACGATCGCAGCTGTTCTATCGCACACGCAACAACAAATAAAGCAGAAGACGATCAGTGTAGCAGCAGACTCAGTAGCAATAGGTCTCAACGTACACAAAGGGAAAAGCAAGATTCTCCGATACAACACAGCATGCTTCAGTCCAATCACACTTGATAGAGAAGATTTGGACGATGTAAAAAAACTTTACATATTTGGGCAGCATCATTGATTAACACAGTGGATCTGATGCAGATGTGAAGGCGCGGGTCGGAAAAGCAAGAGCAGCATATTTACAATTGAAGAAGATTTGGGACTCGAAAAACTGTCAACCAACATCAAAGTCAGAATTTTCAGTATAAATGTCAAGATAGTTCTATTGTATGGGATCAAAACTTGGAGAACTACGAAAGCTATCATATAGAAGATATAAGTGTATATTAATAGTTGTCTATGCAAAATACTTCGGATACGTTGGCCAGTCACTATCAGCAACAACCAACTCTGTGAGAGAACAAACCAGATCCCAGCAGAGGAAGAAATCAGGAAGAAGCGTTGGAAGTGGATAGGACACACATTGAGGATAGTACCCAACTGCGTCACAAGACAAGCCCTCACATGGAATCCTCAAGACCAATGGAGGAGAAGAGGAAGACCAAATAACATATTACGCCGGGAAATGGAGATAGACATGAGAAGGATGAACAACAATTGGATAGAACTGGATAGGAAATTCCAGGACAGAGTGGAATTGAGAATGATGGTCGGTAGCCTATACTCCATTGGGAGTGACAGGCCTAAGTAAGTAAGTAAGTAAATTAAGTAAGGAAGTAAGGGATCATGAGTCAATTGAAGCTAGACTATCATGAAAAACTTGGAAGTACTGAACAACTGTTTCATCCCAATGTGCAACTCCTCAATAGTACACATCCATAATCCCACGTTTATTTCTCTAGTTATTTAAAAGAAAAACTTTTTATCCATTTTTCATTAACCAAATTCATCTTTATTTTATCATATTATCAACTGAATTGACACAGGTTCTATGGTGTTATCTTGACAAGTAGTTTTATATATAAACATAAATAATGCCAAGATTAACAACACTGTGATAACAAATGAGTTTATTTTTATTTCTATTTCCCAAGTAAAACAAATGAATTCTCATTTGATAACAATAACAATAATACCCTACTTCTTAGTCTATACATCTATATATATACATATATTGTCAACTCCTCAAATAATCTAGATTATTTTACAAAATTCGTAGCATTCTTTGACAGTTCCTATATATATATATATAAAGTAGATTTCTGTACTGTATAATGATGATCTATTTCTATGTTGACTTCTACTCAATGTTTAATACAATCATAGATTTTTTGAAAAAAACACAAACAATAATGAATCATTTATAGTAAACAATAGATCTAATATAGATTTCACTTGATATCATGGTAACATTTAATAAAGTTTTGTTTGGTTAATAAATATAAAATGACATTTTATTCTACTATGGAACATTGTCAAAAGATAATTCATGATTCATTTTCATCATAACTTGAAATCATTGTTAACTGATGATGAAATGGAGTTAAATGATTTATCAAGTGCATATATATATGTATACAAGAATGATCTGTATCAGTCAGTCAGTCAGTAACAGCGTAGAACTTCGTACGTATGTACGTACGTACATAGATCAGTTCAAGTTGCCATACCATATTATCAAATAGATAAAATTGTTAATTCAAATTCCATTAAGGTAGAAATAGTATAGAGACAGAAAACTACTAGTCTCTAAACTTATGTAGCATGTTAAAAAGCATATCATTGTTTCAATTCATTTTGATTCATTCTTATAGTGTCTGAGTTTTGTCGTACTAAACCAATGAATATTGTATTTTGAATTCTGATCATGAAACTTCAAGATTTGGTATGATTATGTTAGTTTTATAAAATTTAATGTATACTGGATGTCATTTGTATAGAGATACGACTATTTTCATTTAAAATATGCTATATATATTCATACTGATAACAACAGTTTTACATATATACATATACTTATGTTTTTTGTTCAAACTTGTGATGAATATAATATGTAGAATATATGGAATAGTCTATTGTATTTTATTACTTACACTTGTAACTATACACACACTGATAAGTTAAAAGCAATTAGTTCGTTTGATCAATGTTGATTGACGAAGATTGGAAAAAGAAAGAACAAAGGTTCTAGTAGAATAGAATGAATTCATTTTATTTCGAAGGTTCTCGTCGACTGCTTATAATCTGTGATATTTAAAATCAAAATTACATAATAAGTTTAAATTATTTACATGAGAGGGTTTGATTGGAAATTATATGGAAGATATAGTAGTACAGTATAGTAGAGGTGTAAATAATTTTAATAGACTGAATATTATAAATATATATCTTGTGTGAAAGAACATTCTACAACATGGATTGTGACAACGGTTCAAACGGCCAGAGACAAGTGATTACGTAATGAGTAAACGTCTTTCTTTCTCTTGTCCTGTGGCTTAATGGAACATGTTCAAAAAATCTAAAATATGCCCTCCTTTCAGTTAAGGCAATGTAGCTGATTTGAACAACTGTACCTGAGAAAGCGGCCAAACTCCAGTCTTCTGAAGTTTGCTGAAGTCGTTGCCATTCGGCATGTTTATATTACATGTATAGTTTTTTCCCACTTCATGTTTTGTTTTAAGCAAGTGGGATGCTACGGAACTACAAAGACTGGTTTATTTTTTTAGGATTCTATTAGTTTTTGGACAATATCTGAATGTCAATTTTTAATATTCAAGTTTATTTACTACCGTTGATGCATGCAATTTATTTTAAATTTTAGGAGTAACCATTTTTTGTGTAGGAGATTTCCTACTGATATTCTAGATCTTCTCAAAACTTGTTTTAGTCTTGTACTTTCAACTTTCAGGAAGATTTTCAGAAAGAACACTCAGAAAATTCTACGCTCATTTACCAAGTATCCTGTAGTCTATCATAAATTTTGTCTATTCTTAGAGTTCGAAAAATTTTATAACCATTCTCCGTACATAGAGTTCTAATGAAAGAATTAAAGTATCTGACGAAATATAATAAGCGATCATCATAATCAATGTCAACATAATCCCAATCATTGAAATCAGTAGTTTAATGAATTTTGAAATTAAATTTCTGGCGTATATATATATTGCAACATAAGAAGAGTGTTTATTCCTAACACAACACAGTCGATGTAACTGTTTCACATTGATGAGTTTGACAGTTAGGATCGTTAAAAAGTACGTTTTTCATTATTTAGGATATTTTATTATTATTGTTGATAGAATAAAAGTGTATCTTTGTAAAATTACTACATTTGCAAAAATAAAAACTTCTTTTAACACCTTTTTTTATAATTTTAATGGCAAAAGTGAATGTGTTCCATATACATAGTTCCCTTTATCATTTTGAAAAGAGCAAGAACAAAGATTCTAACAGAACAGCATCAATTCATTTTTATTTCGTAGGTTCTCATCAGCTGCTTACAACCTGTGATATTTAAAAATCATAATTACATAATGGGTTTAAATTGCTTACATGAGAGGGTTTGTTTCGAAGTTATATTGAAGATACATTCGTAAAGCATATCATGGATGTAAATGAAATTAATAGACTGAATATTGTAAATATGTACCTAATGTGAAAGAATATTCTACAACATTAATTGTGGCAACAGTTCAAAAGTGGGTTAGAAACAAGTGATTACATAATGAATAAACATTGATTAGAGCTCGGTTAAAAGATTATTAATTTGAAAGATTGTTGAAAAAAGAAATCAATGATGTAATAAAAACAAAAGAAAAGAAAAAAAAATTTTAAGGTGCAGCGAAATAATATTTGTCACCAAGGAAAGGAAAGATTAATAACCATCTCCTTTTGAACACATAGGTCAGTTTTTTGACGCCTGATAGCAACGGCTTCAGCAAACTTCAGAAGACTGGAGTTTGGCTGCTTACTAATTACCCTAAAGGATTGTAAGGTATCTACCTGATGTTCTGTATCAGGGAGATATTTGGTGATTGCACTATTCAGAGTCTTTCTGTCCCTTGTTCTAAGACGTTTTGGAATATGTTTAAAAAATCTAAGATATGCTCTCCTTCCAGTTCAGCCGATGTAGCTGCTTTGGCAGGTATTTCATTGAAATTTTAAATATCATTTCAATTTTTTTATTTATTGAGATCATGAACCGATTGATGTTAGACTACCACTGAAAAACTTGTAGCAGTGGATGGTCATTTCGTCCTATTGTAGGACTCCTCAACAGTGCACATCTACGATCCCGCTCGTGACCATTCAGTGCTTCAAGGTATTCAATGATAATCTAATATCAATCGGTTTAAGTTCTCAATGAAGACACAAAAACAAAACCTAATACTCTCCACAATCTAATATACTGATCATTTCGGTTTGCTTGTATTTTATTGGTTAAAACGTTTTTTCTCTCCTAAGTATATCCTAATTCCACCCACATTACTGATTCATTTGCAAAATTAACCAATCAGAATAGTTTCCCAATATAATATGTCATAGATATGACCACTTTCTTAGTATCCAAAATAGTACATAGAGAATTTTAAAAAAAAAGAGAAAAGTAAAGAGAAGAAAGAAAAAGAAAAGCTTAATCAGTAATACAACACACATTGTTTACATTTATTAAACTTTATGAATGGAATCTATTTATTCAAGGAATTATCAATGATTATCATGATCATGATTGATACCTAAGACAAAAACAATCTACACATACATCATTCTATAATAATTATTATTATTTCTATATGATTAATTTTCAATGGTATGCTTAGAATTTATTTCATACAATGGAATTGGTATTTTACACGTCAACAATATCAATTATTCATCATCATTATATTGTTTTATATTAATTTAATTCAATCCAAAACGATACGATTACGTATTAATGAAGAGATACAATTGAATACACATATAGGTAGTTTATTAAAATATGTACAACAACAAAGTGGATTAAATAATTTATATTTTATCAAAATTAATAATACAAATGATGCATCGAAATTATTTCATGTTGATCCTAATACGGGTGATATTATTGTTAAGCATAGATTAGATCGAGAATTATTATGTAATAATATTAATAATCAATATAATCAATTAAAGAAATATGGTAAAATGATTAAAGAATGGTTACCGAATTTCACTTATTCTACAATATGTGAATTATATTTTAGTGTGAATTGTTTAAATACCACATTATATTCAAATCGTCATAGAAACAGACTACCTATAAGTAATAAATTAATAACTATCTTTGATGTCATTATTGAATTGAAAGATATTAATGATAATGGTTGTCAATTTATTCCATCCAATCAACAAATGATTAAAATTCGTGAAGATTCATTAATTAATGATACACGTTTTACATTGAATATACCATATGATCCAGATGATATGATCAATGGGAATTCTGTGAAACCAGATCGTATTTGGATCAAGAATGATTCGAATATAATAAATAATAATCAAAATATATTAAATTACTTTAAATTACATAGTCTTTCATTATCGAATAATATTACAATATCTAATATATATTTAGAATTAGAATTAATTCAAAAGTTAGATTATGAAAAACAACAAAGTTATTCATTTCAAATTGTAGCCGATGATGGTATTTCATCAAATGATCATCAATGTTATCTGAATGTAACCATACTTGTAGAAGATTGTAATGATCATATGCCAATATTTGAACAATCTATGTATATTGTAAATGTAAGTGAAGATACACCTATAGGTCATTTCATAACACAGATTAAAGCTTATGATGCAGATACTAATGAAAATGGAAAGATAATTTATAGTTTTGCATCATATTCCGACGATAGTGATGATGGTAATTATTTCTATATTCATTCAGAAACCGGTGAAATAAAACTACAAAGACGATTAAATTATCGTTTAAAATCTAGTCATTCTTTAAAAGTATTTGCTAAAAATCCGGAAAACACTACATCAGGACAAATAAAATCATTTCATACCTCTAAATTATCAACTACTCAGGTTATAGTAAATGTTATTGATGTAAATGATCACTTTCCTCGTATTCGTATTATATCACCTACTGGTTCTAAAACCTTAGAATTAATTGAAGAAACACCACCTGGACAAGATATTGGAATTGTAGATGTGTTCGATGGAGATACTGGAAAAAATGCACAAGTGAACTGTAAATTAACTAATCAAACTATTCCAAATGTTTTACGCTTAATTTCAGTTGATAGTGAAATAATCGGTAAAGAAATGTCAAATTCTAATCAAAAGTATAAATTAACGCTGCAAAAACTTATTGATAGAGAAGAATTCCCAATCATTGAGTTTAATGTAGTTTGTTGGGATGGTGGAACGCCATCTTTATCAAGTAATCTGACATACAAAATCAAAGTATTCGATATAAATGATCATGATCCAGTCTGTGATCAAGATAATTACACAGTTGATGTCATGGAAGATTCAAGTCCGGAAAGAATAAAAAATAACTTTGAATTTCTCACCATTCATGCTACTGATAAAGATGAGGGTCGTAATGCGAAACTCCATTTTAGTTTAGATCAAGAAACTCCAACGTATATACTGAATCTAATCTCGGTCAATGCAACTACTGGGACACTTAGTACTATGGGAAATTTAGATCGTGAGAAGTTGACTACATTCGATGTGACATTAATTTGTTCAGACCATGGTGAACCAAAACGAATGACTAAGGTGAAGATACATATTAATGTATTGGATTACAATGACAACTCACCTACATACTCTCAACCATATTTTGAATTTACTATAACAGAAAATAATCATGTTGGTCAGCTGGTCGGTAATTTTCAAATTACTGATGACGATGTTGATGAAAATGCAGAATTAATTGTTCAAATTGAAGAGAACAGTGAACAGGCACATGTTTATCTTACATATTTCGGTAATAGTTTAAAAATACATAATGACATTGAACAATTTAAATTACATTCAAAAGATCTACTGATTTCTTCCAATTTACAAGAAACAAGACATGTTGAATACATTCCACATTTTAAATTACATTCACAAAAGTTGCCCAGAAAAAATATTTCCTATTCTAACAGTGAATCAACACATTACGATGTCAAATTGTATATAGACTCTGTTATTGATCGTGAAGGATTAATCATGAAATATAAAGATATAGTTTCTGACACGATTCCACATTATGGATTACTAGAACATATCAATGATTTGTATTATAATAATAAAATAACTGAACTCTCAAGTAAAACAAACTATTCCATAATAACACCAATTATATTGTTATTAATCAATACACATGATAAAGGCATTCCAAAATTATCTGAACATGTATCAATACGTATTCATGTATTAGATGAGAATGATAATTCACCTCGTTTTATTTATCCTGATCCAACAGATGTAAATAGAACAAAAACTGTTGTATCATATAAAGAACCATCAGGATATGCATTTACACAGGTAAGAATGAGTATTGGTGTACAGATAATATGTATCAATATTGTATAACTTATAACTTACATTTAAATATTAAATGACTTGACCTAAATCAAAAGAAATGAGAATACTGAAAATACTGTGATCTGATTAGAGCTGTAGATACTGTACCTTAAAGTCTTTCTAATTAGATGAGAGAATTTTGAGTCAATAATTTTTATTTTCCCTAAAGCTGTCATGTACGAATAGTGCCGAAGTGTCTCATAATAGAATCTAATATATTCAAGTTTTTAATATTGATGTAACAAGGATCAATTCGTGATCTGAACTTTATAAATTCCAAAGTGATCTTATAAAATGTTAGCTTATTAGTTGAAGTTAGACATTAACACCGTTGGATTCCGGCTCAGTGGTCTAGTTGGTTAGGCGCCTGGTGCGAAAGTGATAGGTCCTGGGTTCGAACCCCGCTAGGTGGGGTCGTGGATGTGGCTGCTGAGGAGTCACACAATAGGGCGAAACAGCCGTCCAGTGCTTCCAGGTTTTCCATGGTGGTTTAGCTTCAATTGGGTCATAATCTCAACCTTTGAAATTACTAAAATCTCCACAAAACCCTTTGTGATACTAGTTAGGTTATTAGCTTGTGTTCAATCTTAGTCCTAAATATCAATAGAAAGATTCAAACAGACAATACATAAACAAATCAAACTTCACCTCATTGTACAAGCCAGTGTCTATCTAGACTCAATAGTTAAATGTATAACGTGATGATGTTTGAATTGAACGGTTCTGGATTTGAGTCCCATAGTGAATATCGACCTTATAATGTTGATATATCCAGCTGACGATTCTCAAAGTAGAACGTACTAGATTCCACTACTAGCCACCATTCATCTTGATTTATAAATTAACCTTATTTTACTAGGTAGCTTTACACATTTAAATGATCATTTAAATTATAAGTTATATAAAATAACCATTGAAGAAACATTAAAAGTACAATATTTACAAAAACTTGTTACACTTATCAGAATGTATTTTTTTACTTTCTTAGTCAAGTAATGTAGTGATGATTATTTAGAAAATCCATGTTGCTATTCAGAAAGGTTATAGAAGTTGTAAGTGATTTTGTAATGTTTCTTTGATGACTTATTAATTACTGACATGATTGTTTGCTGACTATTGTAAGGATCAAAATCATGTATTACTCAGTAGTCTATAAATAAAATGAAAAAGCTGTCTAATAATTCCTGCTTTATAAATGACATATTACTTTAAATTTTCACTCTTAATTCTATTTCAAATGAATATCATTTTAATTGAATTTCTACTAGTAGAATACACGAAGGCATTAAATGAGACACTATTTCTTATAATTGAAGAAAACTTACAATGCAGTAGCTGAAGATCTATGAAAAGGTGATGCATATTTGAATATTTATTGTGAACTTATTCAGAAGAATAAATACAATGTGAGGAATTACCTCTATGATTACCATTTGAAATGTTCTATTTATTGAATAATTCATAAAATATGGATTATTCTCATTATTGATGTTTTTGACTGTAAATGAACAGCCAACTATAGAATATGTTCACCTTATTGTTGTTATGAAGTTATAATTCCTTAAGATCAATAACGGGGAGATTTGAGCACAAACAATTCAATAAACTTCACTATAAATTCATGAGTCAATAGTTCATTTTATGGGATAGAAGTTTGATTTGAATCTTGTAGTGAATATCTACACTGGCATCCAGGCAGATCAATTTGAATTGTCTGGAATAGGACGAAACTTACATTTTGTATTCCACTACTAGTAATTATTTAAATATGTGTGAAAATTCTGAAGATAACACACACGATGATATAAAGAGTATATGCTAGTATATTTATCCCCAAGACTGAATTTTTCAGTGTAGTGATTTGTTACAATAAACTTTCCCTAGACTATAATCAATAGGAATGATAGTTTTTCTAGCGGGATTAAACTGTATTCTTCTATCTATACATTAAGTAGAAAACTCAAGTATTCATCGTTTCAATTAATTTGTCAACTGTTAATTAACAGTGTTGTAGAATGTATGATGACATTGAACTGCAATAATTTAATTTAATGATGCATCATTTAGGTTATCAATTATCCCAGTAACGATCAGGCAATATAAGTATTAAATCATCTCCAAATGCGTTTAGTTTTCTAGTGGGCAACATAAATCGATTGATATAACTCCATTTTATTTACAGTTGAATAATTCATGAATCCACATGATTTAATTAGTCTTAAATATGTTAGTTTGTTACAAGATGTAGCGTGATTTCAATAAGGATTTTGGTATTCACATAATTTACTGAAGAGATATATTCTGAACAGAAAGTGAAAAGTATTTGAAAGTAGAATGAAAGCTTTCTAGATATATAAAGAAACATCTGGAAATTGCATCATAACTTAACAGTCTAATTTTACCCATATAAACATGATTCCTGAAAGTAACTATATTAGAAAAACTGATCAGTCATTCTCCTCGTAGATGAACCAGTTTGAGAACTGTCATTAAAGATAGGTAAACGTGAATACCAATTCTAAAGTTACTGGGAAGAATCGTTCCTGAAATAATTTGAAATCCTTCCCATCAAAATGTCTGTTATTAAACCGCATTTCAAGATGATGTTCATATAGATCATGGTCTTCGGAGGTTTAATTTTCTTTTATTATCGACAGATCTCCGTTCTGTGTTTTCCTGAGAATAGTTAACAACTTTTCTATAACTTTAGAAGTTCAGATTGGTAGGGTCAAAGTAAACAACCCAATTTCTCTTTCTGTTTGTTGGAACATCTTATAATCAGTTGATTATACGCTAGAACACGTCTCCATTTCATTCGTTCACCAGAATATATATATCCTATAATTTTGTATGCTGTTTGGTTTATTTCTTAAATCTATACAATAACCAAGACGTCTGAACAACCTACGACTAATCGTTTAATCACTGACTTCACGAACAAGTGTCATTCTAATATGACTATCATCATCCTTTAAATCTTTATTGAGCTGTCCATACGACAGGCACCGTCGCACTTAAGGGTTAACTCTTCCTAGGAAGTCAGGCGATTTCGTGTATTGGTTGAAGTTAGTATTAAAACCGTTGGATGTCAACCGGCTCAGTGGTCTAATGGTTAAGTGCTTGAGCGCGATATTGATAGGTCCTGGGTTCTAATCTCGCGAGGGGTGGGATCGTGGATACACACTGCTGAGGAATCCGTACTAGGACGAAACGGCTTCCAGTGCTTCCAGGTTTTCCATGGTGGTCTAGCTCCAGATGACTCATGATTTCAAATATTGAAATTTCCAAGATCTCCACAAAACCCCTTCTGATAAAATTATATTTACCCGAAAATCGGAAATATTAATGAAACTTTCGTTTATATTCGTTGTATTAGCTTGTTAGTCACAATAACAGTTTGGTTATTTTACAGAATCTGTAGTGATATAACATTCATTTATATCCAAATTTAGAGTTGAACATTCGATTTTTTCTCATGTCTCAAAAAATCCAGTTTAACCAATTTCACCATCAGAGTCCCATATAATCAGAAACGCCTTCGTAACGTCTACCAGTCACAAATAAACCTAGCTCCAGGGTTTCGTATGCCATAAAAATATAGGTATCATTTGTTGATAATTCAACACCAAGCGGAACAAAATTAGTACAACAATGATGAATAACTTTATATTCATCGAATGGAATCAATCGTTATATTATATGTATCAATGCCAAGGTTGGACATGTTAGTTTCAAATAAATTGAGTAATGGGTAAAAATCATCATATTATTTGAAATGAAACAAAGAAAGGTGTTCGGTAAATTGATATTTTTTTGTATGTTTAAATACAGGAACCAAAATGCTGGTTTACAATAGAGTATTAAATTTACCTAGCAGTAGTAAACGACAGTTAAGTTTAAAACATTGATAGAAGTTTGGTAAATATTTGTTTCTGTTAATCCATTTGTTTATGTTGTCATTCCCTTGACAGAAAAAAATATTAGCAATCACCATCTCTCACTCCAAATAAATATCCTCTTTATGGACTGAAATTAAGATTACTTAGTAGGATTTTTTAATTAGTTGTAACTACATTAATCTAAGCTATGGCGTATTGACTAACAAAAGATACCATAGGTTTATTCAAAATTATTGATCATTAAATGATCAGATATAGCACATTTTGCCTCAATGATCAGAAACGTAAGGCAGTGGTAATAGAAATTTTTCAAGTACTATAGAGTCAATTATTTAACATTAGAACAACACATATAAGCGAACAATTGTTCTCAATTAGATCGTCATCAGGCTTTACTCTGATATACATGGATATTTATACGAAAATGTTAAACCAATCAAGGCAATTTCGGTCAATAATCACAATGAAATAGAATAAGACACCACACATAATAGGTAAAATTCATGTTGATAGTAGGAAGACATTAACATTAGATACGATAAGTCTCTTAAAGATGTCACATTATTTCATTCATACACAGTGAGATCTAAATAGGTTTTTATCAACCCACTGAAGTTATAAAAATAGAACTATTGTCAATCCCAAATATACTGTCTTGTTTGGTCTTTTCTCACTACTTCAGACAATTCAGACGAATTTATCAGTTACGCTAAAAAATGTAAGGGTTTAATCATGCGTACGCAAGTAAACATTTTACCTTTGAGTAGCGGATAATAAAATTATCCCAATGATTAGCGACTGCTTCCATTTTTCATTTTTTTTTAGAGGAAAGTGTACAGTGTCGTATGTTATTGATACTGTCACATACATTCCAACAAACCCTTAAGAAGAAAGATTTAAAATAAAAAGAATTGATAGTTTCCTAAAAGTTACATAGCAACAAGGAAACTGGTTATTTTGGTGACATGGTTTTTTTCCTCTTCAAATATAGTTTATTAACAATTAGAATGTTTCAACATTCCCAGTACAGTGACGACAATCGCTTGATGCTATTTAACTAAA